CTGAAACTGGCAGATTTGCTTCTCTAGTTCTTAATGCATTTCCTAACTAAAGATCTTTGAGCTCCCTGGAATTCTCTCACCCCCAATATATTTCAGTTCAGTTCAGTTCAGTTCAGTCACTCAGTCATGTCTGACTCTTTGCGATCCCATGGACTGCAGCACGCCAGGCCTCCCTGTCCATCACCAACTCCTGGCATTTACTCATGTCCATCGAGTCAGTGATGCCATCCAACCATCTCATCCTCTGTCGTCCCCTTCTCCTCCCGCTTCAATCTTTCCCAGCATCAGGGTCTTTTCCAGTGAGTCAGCTCTTCACATCAGGTGGCTAAAGTACTGCAGCTTCAGCTTCAGCACCAATCCTTCCAATGAACACCCAGGGCTGATCTCCTTTAGGATGGACTGGTTGGATCTCCTTGAAGTCCAAGGGACTCTCAAGAGTCTTCTCCAACACTATGGTTCAAAATCATCAATTCTTTGGCACTCAGCTTTCCTTATGGTCCATACATGCATCCATACATGCATTTACATATCTATACCTGCAAATACTTCAGTATGTATCTCTAACAAATAAGAACTTTAAAAAAGTAACCCCCCACATGTATATTATCTAGGGTGAAACAGATCACTAGCCCAGGTTGGATGCATGAGACAAGTGCTCGGACCTGGTGCACTGGGAAGACCCAGAGTGATCGGGTGGAGAGGGAGGTGGGAGGGGGGATCAGGATGGGGAATACATGTAAATCCATGGCTGATTCATGTCAATGTATGGCAAAAACCACTACAATACTGTAAAGTAATTAGCCTCCAACTAATAAAAATAAATGAAAAAAAAAAAGTAACCCCAGCGCCATAGTACATTAGTATAGCTAACAGATTTAACAAGAATTACTTGATGTCATCTAACACCCTATCCATTTTTAATTTTACCATCTATCTCAAAAAGGTCCTTTTACATTTTTCCCAACCAGAATCATAATGGGGTCATATATCTCATTTGATTGATACAACCCTAAAATCTTTTATTCTATTGCAGTCTCTAGTACCCTTAAAGATGTTGATTCATTGAAGAAACTGGGCTGTTTTCTATAATTTCCCACTCTCTAAATTTGGCTGATTGCTTCTAGATAGTAAAATGAAATGAAATGTTAGTGTTCAGTTGTGTCCCACTCTTTGCAACCCAATGGACTGTAGCCTGCCAGGCTCTTCTGTCCATGGGATTCTCCAGGCAAGAATACTGGAATGGGTGGCCATTTCCTTCTCCAGGGCATCCTCCTGACCCAGGGTTTGAACCTGGGTCTCCTGCATTGCAGGCAGACTCTTTTACCATCTGAGCTACCTGGGAAGCTCCACAGTCTAGATAGTATGAACTCTTTAAATTGTTCCTTCACCATTTATTTCTGGTAACAGTCTCCATTAGATTCATTTTTTTCCTAAGTCAAGAATAGTTCATAAGTGGGTGAATATATTTTCTAACCAGCAAAAATCTTTGAGCTTGAAATGACCTTAAATTCTTTTACATTCCTAACACATTTTAAATGATATATTGTTTGAAGTTTGCCTATTTCACACAGCTTTGAGTCAGACTTGCAGTCACAACTCACGTAATAGCTAACTTGTATTAAGTGCATTTGATGAGCCAGGTATAAGTCTAAGCACTTGACCTCTGTGCTCATTTAACCTTCTAAACATTTTGCAGAGGAAACTGTCCACACACACACAAATAAATAATCAATAGTCAATCTAGGAAAGAAATGGAAAATTTTGTTTGAGTCAACCTGAGGATTATAATCCAGGAGATGATCTCCCAGATAACTCTGAGAACTGTTCTGAAGGGGTATAGGAGGCAGCATGTATGTGATTTTGGTGAATGGTTATGTGCAATTAGGCCTTCCCCAGTGATTCAGATGGTAAAGAATCTGCCTGCAATGCAGGAGTGAAAGTGAGTGAAGTCGCTCAGTCGTGTCCAACTCTTTGTAACCCCGTGGACTGTAACCTACCAAGCTCCTCATTACATGGGATTCTCCAGGCAAGAACACTGGAGTGGGTTGCCATTTCCTTCTCCAGGGGATCTTCCTGACCTAAGGATTGAACCTGGGTCTCCCGCATTAGAGGAAGACGCTTTAACCTCTGAGCCACCAGGGAAGCAATGCAGGAGACCCAGGTTCAATTCCTGGGTTGGGAGAATCCCTGGAGAAGGAAATGGTGACCCACCCCAGTGCTCTTGCCTGGAGAATCCCCATGGACAGAGGAGCCTGGTGGGCTACAGTCCATGGGGTCACAAAGAGCTGGACACAACTGAGTGACTAACACTTTCACTTTCTTATGTGCAATTCAGCCTCATCTTGGTAGAAGGTTATTGCTATTCGGGAGGAACAGATATCTTAGTTAATGGTTTAAGTGCTTTTCTAAGTATAGGAAGATGCAAGAAATTGGGTTCATAAAATTTTCTTCTGAAAATCTCTAACTACCTAAGGGTCAGTTCCGTAGCTCTCCCAGAGCACAGTCTCATCCTGATACTCACCCTGAATTCCTCTCACAGATTCCTTTCAGTGGCTTCACTGCCTAGTGACTTGATTCTTGTAGAACTGGATGGTGGGCGACATTTTACAATCCCCACCCTTTTGGTCTGAATTGTGACCAAGGTTTGGGAGGCATTTCATGACCAGTTTGTCATGAGCTAAGAATGCTCATTCCCAGGTCAGGCAAAGATTTTCTTGATAGGCCACTCAATGTACTGTTACTGGACTAGGCCCCTTTAATAGTAACCAAAATCCTCTGGATGCTCGTCTTTAAGATGATTTGTTTATTTTTAGCTGCGCTGGCTTTTCACTGCTGCACGTGGGCTTCCTCCAGTTGTGGCAGGCAGGAGTCACTCTTCACCGCTGTGCTCCGGCTCCTCCTTGCAGCAGAGCACAGGCTCTAGGCGCGTGGACTTCAGTAGTTGCGGCCCGTGGGCTCAGTGGTTGTGGCTCTTGGGCTCTAGTGCTTTAACTCAGTAGTTTTGGCACGCAGGCTTAGTTGCTCTGAGATGTGTGGGATCTTCCTGGACCAGGGATAGAACCTATGTCCCCTGCATCAGCAGGAAGATTCTTTTTTTTTTTCCATTTATTTTTATTAGTTGGAGGCTAATTACTTTACAACATTGCAGTGGTTTTTGTCATACATTGAAATGAATTAGCCATGGATTTACATGTATTCCCCATCCCGATCCCCCCTCCCACCTCCCTCTCCACCCGATCCCTCTGGGTCTTCCCAGTGCACCAGGCCCAAGCACTTGTCTCATGCATCCAACCTGGGCTGGTGATCTGTTTCACCCTAGATAATATACATGTTTCGATGTTGTTCTCTTGAGACATCCCACCCTCGCCTTCTCCCACAGAGTCCACAAGTTTGTTCTATACATCTGAGTCTCTTTTTCTGTTTTGCATATAGGATTATCGTTACCATCTTTCTAAATTCCATATATATGTGTTAGTATACTGTAATGGTCTTTATCTTTCTGGCTCACTTCGCTCTGTATAATGGACTCCAGTTTCATCCATCTCATTAGAACTGATTCAAATGAATTCTTTTTAATGGCTGAGTAATATTCCATGGTGTATATGTACCACAGCTTCCTCATCCATTTGTCCAGCAGGAAGATTCTTTTTTTTTTTTTTTCATTTATTTTTATTAGTTGGAGGCTAATTACTTTACATCATTGCAGTGGTTTTTGTCATACATTGAAATGGATTAGCCATGGATTTACATGTATTCCCCATCCCGGTCCCCCCTCCCACCAGCAGGAAGATTCTTAACCACTAGACCACCAGGGAAACTGCAGACAGACTGTCTTACTAGTCTGCTACAGTCCAGGAAATGGTCCTCTCCTGTTGCTTCTTTCCATTTCCAGAATTACACTATTACAATCTTTGATCTTATAGAACTATGCATTTGATCAATCACTTCAGGTCACCTAATCACATTAACTTTATCTGAGGCTCAGTCACACACTGGGTAACACAAGAAATGATCTTATAGATTAGGCAGAATATAAGTAATATGGCTAGTAACACTAATAAAGTCATAAGTACTCATTTAAGCCAAGAATTTCCATAATATGTGACTCAGTGTTCTCCCAAGTTCCTCTGGCCAGTCTGTTCTGCACCAGTCACCATCTTTAAGGGAAATGACATACTGGCATTGTATATAGAGCTCACCAAAGAAGTCTGCACTTACAAGCTGTGTGGTGGGTCATCGGTGACTCCCTTACAGGAGTGTGAAAGGAATGTTATCTTCTAAGGAATTACCTAGCTGGCAACAGAAAAAAAAAAAACCAGACACAATAAATAGATGTTCATGACTGAGCAGGCATCTCTGCCATTGGAAGAGAGAATGAAGATGTGTGCTTGCACTCAGGTCTCTCAGTCATGTCCGACTCTTTGCAACCTAACAGAGTTTAGGCCGTCAGGCTCTTCTGTCTGTGGTATTCTCCAGGCGAGAATACTGAAGTGGGTTGCCATTTCCTTCTCCAGGGGATCTTCCCCACCCAGGGATCAAACCCTGGGCTCCTGCATTGCAGGCAGATTCTTTACCCACTGAACCTCTTGGGAAGTCCTTCTGTCACTGGGAAGGGCTCCTTAGTGCAGAATGCAGATACACAAGGGACACTAGCGGGGAGGGAGGAGGTACAATGGGCAGAGAAAAATTTCGTTTCAATTTCTATCTTGCCTTAAAATATGAATTTTTATTTCATCAAAGCAAAGCTTGGGGAATCTGATTAATTTGACTCACTCAGGAAGTCAGGGTGTGAACTCAGGAGCGGAATCAGAATTCCAAATTCCTAGAACTTTCTGCTCTGAAGAACTGGCACCTCCAATCGCAGCATTTCCTGGTTCTCAAAGCAGCAAGCAAGTACTGATTACTGGGAGGACGTCCCTTCCGCCCCGCCCTGCCCCGCCCTTTCCGTTCCGCCCCTTTTTTTATTCCGCCCCGCCCCCATGGTTGAGAACTAGGCTCAGGGAGCGACAGAGAAAACCACAATTCCCAGAGTGCACCGCCACCGCAACGGCCGTACGGTCGGCCTCGGGCTCCCGGCGCCATCTTCGTGGGTGAGGAGGCGGTGCGGCCTGTGACCATGGCGCTCTTCCCCGCCTTTGCGGGTGTCGCCGAGGCTCCGGACAGCGGGAGGAAAGGTGAGTCCCCAGGAGGGATAAAGAAGGCGCTCGGCGGGCTTGGAGGGGAGTCCCTCTGGCTGGCTCTCGCCGCTTGCCTTGGGTTTGTTTATCCGCTTGTATCCCAGAGTTCTCCGCGGCGCTGCAGGGCCTTCTGGGAGGCCGGCCTCTCGGCGGGCTTCTGGGCCGGAGTTCTGGCGACCAGGGGGGAGAGAGGCGGGAGAGGCCGCGGGCAGGGGGCTTCCGTACAGCCGTGTCTTAATTCTCGAGGCACGGTTACTTCACCCATGAAACGGAAGCGGTGGTGTTTTCACGGGGAGACTCCTGATGCAAGTGCTGGGTGTGCTTCATCACAGCTTGCTTTCTTCCCCGTTTTACTTATTTCTGAATCGCTTACTGGGTGCCTGTCTTTTGGCCGAACCAGAGCTAGAAAATTAGGGTCCGAAGCCCAGTCAAACGTAGTGGGCACAGCTGCTGGGAATAAGCACTGGCATCTATTTACTGAAGGCTGATGGTAGGCCAGGTAATGGTGTTATATACTTTATGCAAGCCTTGATCATTACCAGGAGCTCTGCATTGTTAAAAGTTGTGGCACACAGCGAGCAAAGTGGGTCCATTGTCCGACAGACGTTTTCCACCAAATCCTTGTGGTGTCATGTAACATACTTCTCTATCCTAGTGTTCAACTCCATGACCCCACGGGCTGTAGCGCACCAGGCTCCTCTGTCCACGGGTTTCTCCAGGCAAGAATACTGGAGTGGGTTGCCTAGACCTCCTCCAGGGGACCTTCCCAACCAGGGATCAAACCCACATGTCCTGGTCTCTAGCATTGGCAGGCGGGTTCTTTTATCTCTGAGCCACCAGGGAAGCCCCTTTCTACCCTAGAATTTCCTGTCAGTTCAGTTCAATTCAGTCGCGTCGGACTCTCCATGGACTGCAGCACGCCAGGCCTCCCTGTCCATCACCAACTTCCGGAACGTGCTCAAACTCATGTCCATTGAGTTGGTGATGCCATCCAAACATCTCATCCTCTGTCCTCCCCTTCTCCCGCCTTCAATCTTTCCCAGCATCATGGTCTTTTCAAATGAGTCAGTTCTTCACATCAGGTGGCCAAAGTATTGGAGTTTCACCTTCAGCGTCAGTCCTTCCAATGAATATTCAGGACTGATTTCCTTTAGGATGGACTGGTTGTATCTCCTTGCAGTCCAAGGGACTCTGAAGAGTATCTTCTAACACCACAGTTCAAAAGCATCAATTCTTCGGCGCCCAGCTTTCTTTATGGGCCAACTATCACATCCACACATGACTACTGGAAAAACCATAGCTTTGACTAGATGGAGCTTTGTTAGCAAAGTAATGTCTCTGCTTTTTAATATGCTGTTTGGGTTGGTCATAGCTTTTCTTCCAAGGAGCAAGCGTCTTTTAATTTCATGGCTGCAATCACCATCTGCAGTGATTTTAGAACCCAAGAAAATAAAGTCTGTCACTGTTTCCATTGTTTCCCCATCTCTTTGCCATGAAGTGATGGGGCCGGATGCCATGATCTTAGTTTTTTGAATGTTGAGTTTTAAGCCAACTTTTCCACTCTCCTCTTTCACTTTCATCAAGAGGCTTTTTAGTTCTTCTTCACTTTCTGCCATAAGGGTGGTGTCATCTGCATATCTGAGGTTATTGATATTTCTCCCGGCAATCTTGATTCCAGCTTGTGCTTCTTCCAGCCCAGCGTTTCTCATGATGTACTCTGCATATAAGTTAAGTAAGCAGGGTGACAGTATACAGCCTTGACATACTCCTTTTCCTATTTGGAACTAATCTGTTGTTCCATGTCCATTTCTAACTGTTGCTTCTTAACCTACATACAGATTTCTCAGGAGGCGAGCCAGGTGGTCTGGTATTCCTATCTCTTTAAGAATTTTCCACAGTTTGTTGTGATCCACACAGTCAAAGGCTTTGGCCTAGTCAGTAAAGCAGAAATAGATGTTTTTATGGGACTCTCTTGCTTTTTTGATGGTTCAGCGGATGTTGGCAATTTGATCTCTGGTTCCTCTGCCTTTTCTAAATCCAGCTTGAACATCTGTAAATTCACAGTTCACGTACTGTTGAAGCCTGGCTTGGAGAATATTGAGCATTACTTTGCTAGCGTATGAGATAAGTGCAATTGTATGGTAGTTTGAGCATTCTTTGGCATTGCCTTTTTTAGGGATTGGAATGAAAACTGACCTTTTCCAGTGCTGTGGCCACTGCTGAGTTTTCCAAATTTGCTGGCATATTGAGTGCAGCACTTTCATAGCATCATTTTTAGGATTTGAAATAACTCAGCTGGAACTCTATCACCTCCACTAGCTTTGTTCGTGATGATGCTTCATTAGGCCTACTTGACTTCGCATTCCAGGATGTCTGGCTCTAGGTGAGTGATCACACCATCGTGGTTATCTGGGTCATGAGGATCTTTTTTGTATAGTTCTTCTGTGTATTCTTGCCACCTCTTCTTAATATCTTCTGCTTCTGTTAGGTCCATACCATTTCTGTCCTTTACTGTGCCCATCTTTGCATGAAATATTCCCTTGGTATCTCTAATTTTCTTGAAGAGATCTCTGGTCTTTCCCATTGTATTGTTATCCTCTATTTCTTTGCACTGATCACTGAGGAAGGCTTTCTTATCTCTCCTTGCTATTCTTTGGAACTCTGCATTCAGATGGGTATATCTTTCCTTTTCTCCTTTGCCTTTCGCTTCTCGTCTTTTCAGAGCTATTTGTAAGGCCTCCTCAGACAGCCATTTTACCTTTTTGTATTTCTTTTTCTTGGGGATGGTCTTGATCCCTGCCTCCTGTCCAATGTCACGAACCTCCATTCATAGTTCTTCAGGCACTCTATCAGATCTAATCCCTTGAATCTATTTCTCACTTCCACTGTATAATCCTAAGGGATTTGGTTTAGATCATACATGAATGGTCTAGTGGTTTTCCCTACTTTCTTCAATTTAAGTCTGAATTTGGCAATAAGGAGTTCATGATCTGATCCACAGTCAGCTCCCGGTCTTGTTTTTGCTGACTGTAGAGAGCTTCTCCATCTTTGGCTGCAAAGAGTGTAATCAGTCTGATTTTGGTGTTGACCATCTGGTGATGTCCATGTGTAGAGTCTTCTCTTGTGTTGTTGGAAGAGGGTGTTTGCTATGCCCAGTTTGGCAAAACTGTTAGCCTTTGCCTTGCTTAATTCTGTAGTCTTTGACTTCCTACTTTTGTATTCCAGTCCCCTGTAATGAAAAGAACATCTTTTTGGGGTGGTAGTTCTAGAAGGTCTTATAGGTCTTCATAGAACCATTCAGCTTCAGCTTCTTCAGCATTACTGGTCAGGGTATAGACTTGTGCTATTGAATGGTTTGTCTTGGAAACAAACAGAGATCATTCTGTAATTTTTGAGATTGCATCCAATTACTGCATTTCGGACTCATGATGGCTACTCCATTTCTTCTAAGGGATTCTTGCCCACAGTAGTAGATACACTACTATCTACTATTTAACCCATTGCAGTCCATTTTAGTTCACTGATTCCTAAAATGTTGACATTCACTCTTGCCATCTCCTATTTGAGCATTTCCAATTTGCCTTGATTCATGGACCTAGCATTCAAGGTTCCTATGCAGTATTCCTCTTTACAGCATCAGACTTAACTTCCATCGCCAGTCACAGCCACAACTGACTGTTATTGCTTTGGCTCTTCATTCTTTCTGGAGTTATTTCTCCACTGATCTCCAGTAGCATATTGGGCACCTACCAACCTGGAGAGTTCATCTTTCAGTGTCCTATCTGAAATAACAGGGAGGGAATGCAGCCCCAGCCATCAACACAAAATTGGATTAAAGATTTACTGAGCATAGCCACACATATCAGAACAAGGCCTGACTAGTTTCCACCTCAGTCAGTCTCCCATCAGGAAGCTTCCATAAGCCTCTTATCCTTCTCCATCAGAGGGCAGACAGACTGAAAACCACAATCACAGAAAACTAACCAATCTGATCACATGGACCACAGCCTGGTCTAACTCAATGAAATGTGTAGGGCCACAGGAAGGATGGATCATGGTGGAGAGTTCTGACAAGACGTGGTCCATGGAGAAGGGGATGGCAGACCACTTCAGTACTCTTGCCTCGAGAGCCCCGTGAACAGTATGGACAGTAGAACTTCTGTCAGCTGGTAGTTAGATCTAGAGAGTTAGGTCCAGTTTGAAAATCCCTCTTTGGGTTCGCTCTGCACTTGCTGTTGCTGCAAATCAGGAGGCTGAGCTGTCTGGTTTTCTCTCCTTCAGCAGTTAAGGTGGACCAGTGGGTTCCTGGACAGTCTGTGACATCCGTTATGAAGCTGCCCATGGGTCTGTCACCTAAAAATTTCCATGCCTGTTCTCCAGCCTTCCCTTACCGGTTAGAACTTCCATTAGTCAGTGATATCCTTCCATTTTTTTATCCTCAGTATGAACAACTGCATTTCCCTTCCTTTTCTTCTTTAAAGTCTAGTGATTCACCATGTTTTGGGTGTACAGCAGAGTGACTCAGCTAAATATATATATATATATATATATATATATATATATATATATACACATTATGTTTCAGACTTTTCCATTACAGGCTTTTACAGAATACAGTTCTCTGTGCTGTGCGGTAGGTTCTCTTTCTCTATTCTGTTTTATACAGAGTGTGTATCTGTTAATGCCAAGTCCCAAGTTTATCCCCACCCCCCACTTCTGTTTCTTAACTGCAGAGTATTCTGCATTTTACCTTAAATCCCAGAGATCACTCTACACTGGAGTATATAAATCTTTCTCAGTTCTTTTGACTGGTATCTAGTGCTCCATCAAGTGAATGTCACTTACTTTATTCTGACAGTCCTTCTTAAGGACATTAGAACTGTTTCTGGTGTTATGCTGTTAAAAACAGAAGTACTGTATTTTTTGGCCTTATGCTGTAAAATGTTATGAAAATGTAAGATGGTGTTAGTACTGATGTGTGCAGTTTTAATTAAAAA